AGAAGAATGTGAAATTCTTTGACTGGTTAAGATATATCCTAAAAGAAAAAGAAATCGATATTCCAGATTTTGATCTTAATACTGTAGAAAATCAGTATTAAACTTTTTATACTCTAGAAGGGGAAGAATTGGAATCCATTCATCCCCCTAAAAGGAATCTTCAACTAAAAGCGAAATCAGAAGATAAACCAGAGGCTAAGGCTTCACCATATAAGCTCACCCCTAAAGATATTGATCATCATACTCATAAAATAAATGTAATACCACAGATCAACTATTTCATATATTACAAATAAATGAAGAATCTTCTGATAATTCTTCTAGTTCGGATTCAGAAATGTTGGCTGGAGAGATAGAAAACGAAGATTTAATTCTCAGCAGTTCAGACTAAAAAAATGATAATACTGATACTAATTGTTTCTGTAACACCCTTACGAAAGAAGAGAATCTAATCATGGATATAATATATAAGATAACTGACCCTGATACTAAGCGAGAAGCTTTAGTCCAATATATAAATATAGCCAAAGTGAATAAAAAACCTTCTCCTCCTTTAGTTCGCACCCAAGAGGATTATAGTTTTGCTAAAATCTATAGGAGAGTCGAGGATAAAAATATTGTCATCTTTCTTTTTTATTCCTTGAAGGTTGAACTGTTCCTTATTGATTATTAGAGGAGGTTTAAACAATTGAGCTTTCTTTCCTTTATGATCTGTCACCCTATCATGGGGTTTATTAATTATGTTTTCAATTCTTGTTGTCTACTTTCCAATGATTTGTAAGCAGAAATTAGTATAATTATTTTTTTCGATTATATGTGGTATTACATTTATTTTATGGGTATGGTGATCAGTATCTTTAGGGGTGATCTTTTAAGGTGAAGCCTTAGCCTCAGGTTTATCTTCTGATTCCCCTTTCAGTTGAAGATTCCTTTCAGGGGGATGAATGGATTCCAATTCTTCTCCTTCTAGAATATAAAAACTTTGATACTGATTTTCTACAGTATTAAGATCAAAATCTGGAATATCGATTTCTTTTTCTTTTAGGATATATCTTAACCAGTTAAAGAATTTCACATTCTTCTTCTGTCTCAATATAAATTTATTGAATTTCTTATGTAGAGAGCATCTAATAACTCCTAGGGGAATTTTGCCATATATCATTCTCTGATATTTTTATTCTCATCGGACAAAAAGTCCTATTTGATCTCTTCTTTATCTATCTTGAATTTCTCTTCTTTTTGAAGGGTAAGGATATTAAAATCTAGGTCAGACGGTGTTGGCTCTTTATCTGGGGAACTAGGTTCATATATCCTATATACTGGTTGTTACACTTGGCTATTTGTTCTAGTTAGTCGTTCGACTATAGGTCTCCTATGGATTTGCTCATGTTCTGATTGTGGAACAGAGGAAGTGGAACATCGTGAAGGCATTCTAGAGGGGCCTTCAGAAAGGTTTATTCGGGTTCATCTATTTGAATTAAATTGTATTTCTATGTCCCTATCTAGGTATTCTATTATTTGTTTTGGGTCTCTATTAATGGGAGTTTCAGACTGTTGGTTTTCACAGTGTAGAGACCACTTATCCGGAAGCCTAATTTTCCATGTCATGGATCTAGGTATAGCAGTGTTGGATTTTTCCATATTAGTTTGGAAAAACACAGTTCGCCCTTTAGTATCCAAGTATAGTGCATTTGAGCACAAAGTGTTCATCACTTTATAGCATATTATATATATATATATATATATATATATATATAGTAGTGGTTATATAGTA